GTAAGATCACAGGTCCTCTAAGGAACATATGGAAGTCCATAACAGGTCATCTGAGTCATGTTCCCTGAGACAATGCAGGCAGGGCCATAAAAGTTGATACCCTTCCAGATGCAAACCAAATGTAGACATCATGCACCTCTAAAATGTTATGCATTCAACACAGACCTCTATAAAAAAAAGTGGTAGGAAGTGAGACAACGACATGCAGAGTTTCTTATATTGATCGTGAGAAGCTTAGACAACATTTAAATGGATGATAACCACTGTCATTAATACAGATCCATCTTTAAAAGTAACTCGGTGCTTCATGTTGTCTCATGGAAACATCTTGCTTATGTCACCAGTTGCAGAACATGAATGAATTTGTCACAGATGAAGGACTCAAAACGTACAAAAATCCATCCCATCCTTCTATCAATGACAACTTTAAAACAAAGTATTCCCCGCCATCACATTTCCTGTTGCACTTAAATTGGCTAAGGGCACATCTTCTACACTAAAGAATGAAGGCACACACAACATACTAAGTCATATTGCAAGTATGCAACACATATGCATTTCATATAATCTCAGTTCTGACATTCTTGTTCCATATGGGCAGGAAAATGTCTGCATTACATACTAGGATGTATGCTGAACTAGTTTAAAGAGAGGCTTCAATAACCAAGTTGATCTGTAAACACCTCAGTCCAAATATATGAGCCAAAGATCAAATAGGCGAGACAAGGTAAAGACATGTAGAGGAAAAGCTCAGCAGCAGACTAATCAGCCCCCTCCAACGCTCACATAGCAGATCAATGAAAGACCTTGGGCCTGCGCTATATTACACACCAACACTTCATATTCATTCATTGATTTTACTTTTCAGAATAGTATATCATTGAACTCCAATGGGAGGGAAAATAGAGGCTGGGGCTGAGGTCAACACTCGCGTGGACGGATGTTTGCACAATATTGATGGCGCATGCAGAAAGAAATGACTAAATATCTGGATCAATAGCCACGACAGGTTGTTCCAGATGGAAATGTATAAATACTTCTTTATGGCCACTGCAGTGGGCCTAACGAACAGGGCTAAATGCCCCCCTTAAGGTAAACTCTTTGATTAGCCAAGGCCAGAGGGCTCTGCTGATGCTACAATGCCACGCTTCCAATGGCCTGAGGATGCTAATGCACACAGGGGCCCAGTAAAGGGGCCAAGGATATCACAGGTCACAAGCCCTGGGCAAAGTGCTCTGTGCTACCTGACCCTCCTATTCATTTGTAATGATGATGGTCCAAGGCTAAATCATACTCGGTCATGTTCAAATAATGCATAACATGAATAATTTAGAAATAAAGCCACTTTTCTAATTGTAGTAATAAGAATTGGAGCTCGGAGGGTCCACTATAATTGAGCCTGAAGAAACACATTTGCATGTTGAATTCCCCAATTTTCAGCCACATAAAGCAAGAATGAAGTGGAGTTAAATATGTAGAGTATTAAGTAATCAACTCAGGCCAACGGCGTGGTAAAAGTATTGCCTGCTGCTGCTACTGCTGATAGCACAAGAGCTGCCTGTTCTTATTTACAGCACAACACAATTAGTGAGAACGACACCCAACCTCACAGCTTCCCCTGCTCCACAGCGGCCAATGGGGCCATAAAGAGGGAGGAACCACATCATTGCCTGCTCCTTAATTAAATGAAAGGTTCATTTGCCACCTTTTTTTTTTTTTACACATTGAACTGGCCAGCTTACTATAGTGAAGACCTCCCAGACGCCATCCCAGCATGGCCCTAAATCATGCCTGGATAAACTGCCCGGTGGGTCCCTGCTGGACACACAGCGGCAAGGCCAGAGCAGGGCATGCGGTGGATCGACACCTAGCCAGCGATAAGTAATTCTGTAGAGGATTAGCAGCATGATAGCCTGATCAATACTGTGTACTCAGGCCATTAGGAATGCAGCGAGGAAATGACCCCCTCCGGTAATAAAGCAGGGCATCTGGGTTCTCCTTCATTTGCCAGCTCCATTAGTGTAATGGTATCATTATCTGCCACAGCCGTATTTTTCTAGGCCCTGGCTTTTCCACGGCTCGACTGGCGGGGGTCTGATGAAGCTGTGAGGGCCCCCATGCAGAGCGTTCCCATTGCTACCATTCTACACGGAGCCTAGGTGTAAATCTAGCTCTGCTGGAGCTTATGTGCTACCCTGCCTTAGGTATCCATATCCATGTTTTATGTCAGCACCCAACACTATTTCTCTATTATTGGCTCATTAATAGAGCAAGCAGCATGTAGCTTGGGTTAAAAGGGAGAAAAAGATGGCCGGCAGAGCACAAAGCTGCTGAATGTGCTGAATCTGACACCCCCCTCTTGCTAAAACACTAGGCCTGACATGACAGGACGTCGGCATTAGTCGCCATAAATCGTTTCCTCTACACTAATTCACCAGCTCACATTTTGTGTGGGAGAATTGATTAACCATGTCTGGATGTGTGGCCACATAATCAGCTTTTACCTCGGTAGTTGTTAATTTAACAGAATTGCCAAGGGAAACACAAACCATTTTAATGAGTGTTCAGAAATTAAATACCCTAAACAGCTTGCACTATGTGCCACAACCAGAGCAAACCAATGAGGCTGATCTAAGCAATGGGCCGGGCTGAGCCCAGGACCTCACAACATCTGGTGACCCTGTGTGATCATTACTTAGCCTGCCGCTCACACACACTTCCTGTTTCGACACAGCACTTTATACTTGTCATCACTGTCCAAATGGCGAGCTTGCATCAAAGACAGCATTAGAACATCGGGTTAAGGAACAGGGTGAGTGTCGTTTTCGCACTTGCCAAGGCATGAGTGGAAATTCATCCTGTGATGACAATTTTGATAAACATAATGTTTTTTTCAATTCATTACAAGACAAGGGGGTGGAATGTTGATATTGCTGAGTTATTCATGAAAAAAGTAGCTATTTGAGAACCTAAGGCAATGAATACATTTAAAAATAGTCTGCATTTTTGTAGCTGGAAAAAGAGCTAGTGTAAACAATGTCTGATGGATTTATCAAGAAAGAAAAAGTAGTTCCTCCTGGGCTGTTAGGCCAATATCCTTCTATTTCACTTAAAGAATATAAACTATGGCATCCCACCTGTCAGTTTGCTATAGTGACTTGCTGTGGTGGGATTTTCTAAGGAGATTGTGTATTCATTTGGCACTAATCTGCTGGTGCTTGCATTCCCTAACTCAGAATGACAGTGGGCCTATCATAGCGCATCTCTCACTTTGTGCAGCATTGCAGACACACTCACATACTGGATGAATCCAAGTTATTTGTTATCATTTTATCTGTATCATTATACAACCCTCTGATATTATGTTTTAAAAGTACTGACAATGCAAGCAGCTCCTCCCTTGGCTGCTCTAAAGTCTTATAGTCATTTTTAAATTGCAATTCCATCTTGCTCATCCTTTTATTTATCTAAAGAGAAAGGAAGCTAAGCCATTAGGTCTGTACAGTGCTGCCTTAGTGCCCGAGGGCCAGCTGGAATGAGTTCTCTCTCTGAGCCGCTCATCTGGCCGCCATGGCTGCTTTCATAAACAGGAGGAACCACGTCTTACATAGTTTCACTGCTGTCTAACATGATCCAAACATATGTGCCACAGCAGACGGCGTCCAAGTCAGGAGATAAGACTAGGAACAGACAGACAGACAGACAGAATGACTGTAGGCGTAACACATCCCAGGATGCCATGGGCACAGCTGAGCCCTTTCCTTCCTCTGCTTAGGAATCTCAACTAACCGCAAAGTTATTCAGAAAAAGCCCTATTAAACCCAGGACAGCACGAACTAGCTTATTGCACAAACAAAAGTTGGTCATCCCAGGTTATAGACACACCCATCTCTATGTGCAAACAATCCTGAACTCACTTTCATGCCTTAGGGACAATTACAGAATTATTCAAGAAAAATAATCACTACATCAACAAATAAGTTCAAGTGTTTACTGTAAAGCATGAGTTAGTATCCACTGTATCTATAGAAAATACTGAAGCAGATGTGGGCTGGCACCATGCCAAATCTGGAGACCCTACACATGAACTTTACCATTTGTTGTTTACAGTTATAATGGGCTGTTTCATTCCTACAATTAACAATTGATTCATGTTTCAGTCTTCACACCATTTCGTCCCACACATGTGTTTGTTTGTTGTTGTTGTTGTATTTATGAAATGCTGATAAATCCAGCCCAGTACAGCACACACTAGCTTATTGCACAAACAAAAGTAGGTCATCCCAGGTTATAGACGCACCCATGTCTATGTGCAAACAATCCTGAACTTAATTTCATGCCTTAGGGACAATTACAGAATCATTAAAGAAAAAGTATCACTATATTAACCAATACACGATCATGTCTACTGTAAAGCATTAGTTAGTATCCACTGTATCTATAGAAAATACTGAAACATATGTGAGCTGGCTCCTTGCCAAATCTGGAGACCCTACACACAAACTTTACCATTGTTTTTTAGCAGTTATTATGGGCTGTTTCATTGCTACAATTAACAATTGATTCATTCTTCAGTCTTCACACCATGACATCCGGAATAAGGCTTTAATGCCTAATGTGTTGCCATGTGTTGGTTTGTTGTTTTTTATGTAATGCTGATGAATCCAACCTACGGTAGTCTTCACTTTTACTATTTTCTCCAACAGACCCTTTTCCACTTAATATGCAATGTTGCTAAATCGTTATCCTGCAAGCTACAGCTTTACGTGATAAAGCACCATTATATTGCAACTGTAATTCGCTCTTCATTGTGGAAGACTAGGGGGGAAAAAATGGAAAACACAATAAAGGAAACAGGCATGGTGAGGTATGCGCTGACATTAGCGGCTTGCTAGCCTCCAAAATGCTTCCAGCAGTGTCACATAAGGAGCATTAGATATTCAACCAGCAGCAGGGCTTAGAAATATATCAGCCCTAACGGAGAAAAACGCTATCAATACCTTTCTTCTCTTCTCCCCCTCACTGTCACCCGATCTTTTCATGTTCCTGGACTTGTGTTTACACTGCCTCGCTTTTATTAGAGGCGACGGTGGTTGTTGTAGTACTCGAAAAAACGGTACTAATGCCTTCTCATATTATAAAGGGCACATGGCAGTGAAGACTTACGTGTTGTTAAAGTGAGAGCCCAATGGTTAATATTTCCGGTGCAAATTGTTTTTTAGTGGAGATATTTAAAAAGAACACGCGACACGAGTGGCATTGAGGACTACAAATCCCAGATTGGACAAGTGTTCGCGGCGGAAGCTACGTCATCACGCTCTACACGTTGCACTGCGCAGATGCGGCGCAGGTACAGATCTACAGATATACAAAATGCAGATGTGCTGGGTAAGAAAGTTTAAAATCAAGGATTTATGTTTTAGAGACCTTACAACTCTTAAATAAAAAGAAGAATATGAAACATTAGAATCACAATTAACTGCTTCTGCGCAACTTTTTAATTTAATTTAAATTAAATTCTTTACATTTTTATTTCAAATACACTTTTTTTATTTTGCTTTTTATTTATTTATTTTCCTATTTTATTAGATTTCTTTTTCAATTTGATTCTATATAGATTTTTTTCTTTTATTCATCATTATTATTGATAACATTCTGGTAGGTGGTAATGCTGCAGTTCAAACATCTTTAAACTTTATATTTTGAAAAAGACTCCTAAATATTTTATCAACATATCCTGTTCTTTAGCTTAGATATTCCATATGCTTACCCCTTTTGGTAATCAATAGCAGTCACACTTTCATCTTAGACTATGTGTAAAAATAGCAATCATGCTTTGAACGTGCTCCAGTACAAGTCTCGCCATCCTTCTTTCAACTTTTGCATGGATCTCAACTCCAGGTGCTTTTCTGCCGGTGTGGGCTTCAACCACGTCAGCCCTTTTCAACTCACTACCCATCATGAAAGTGCACCATAAACGTACAGCCTCCATGTGGCTGCCTTTATGTATCACCCACGGTTGAAATACCCTCCCAGAGTTCATCCACATTGCTCATAACATGTTTTGAATGGTGCTGAAATGTGTTCTGTCCATTGTTCCTAACAAAGCACATGTGATATACATGAGGGAGTTTTACAGATGGGGCAGCAGTGGTGGTGGGAGGGTGGTGCATGGAGCGGACTGCTGGGGTCTAAAACACCTGCTACATATTACCATTACAGACTTTGATCAGTGTCTTCATTAGTTTCCTTTGTAATCGCTTTTCTTTTATGGTAGAGCTGACCCAAGTGAGGCGGCTACAATGATTCAACACACATGTTTCTTTCACCTGTCTTGTAAAATGCTCCAAAGCTTTCCCACTTTCAAGGATGTCGGTGTCTCTGGCATCCCTTACTAATAAACGGAGGGGGTTCTTTTGAGTCCTATTTATAACGTACATTTCCTCTCCTCTGTTCTGGTCTTACAAGGGGAGAGTATGTTTGAAAAATATCCTTGGAATCATCTTGTGAAAACTAGATCCATGTGCATGCATAGCTATATCGTTTTTAACATTAACATATGTCAGCCTATAGTACCTTTTGAGTGCTACTATCATGAAAACAAATCTTATGATGTTGTAAATAATTTCCCTTTTTTGATCTTTTAATGTCAAAATCCGCTTTTATCCGACCTCAGTCACCCCGATCCATCATTACACTATGTTCCTTTTATGCGTCAAACTATCATTCTCATATTCCCGCTGTCAATCACTTTTATGGTTAACATTTCAAGGAACAGAGGGTTCCCTGCTTGACGTTTTTTGGCCGAGTCTGTGAGATCTGGGACTCTTTGAGTGTACATTATGTTCAAATAATGTATAGGGCTCTTAATGGCAGACAGGCCACTTTACCTTGTCCAACAAACCCCTGCAGTAGCTTGGTTTTTTATTCCATCGCTGGTGGCCCGATGGTGGGATGGTGTCCTCAAAACCCCCATGTCTGAAGAATCACATGTGCACTGTGGGTCCTGTTAAATTATTCACAAAACCGTTCAAATCATGTAGTTCTCAGTAATGGGGGTTTGTGGAGTCATTCAGAGCAAGGGTAAAGGGAAAGGCTTTGATCATAATTAAGTGCATTACTTTAAGAAAGCACTTTAATACACTTACATGTTATCTTATTAAACCTGCTGGTCATGGGAAAAAAATATATTCCTTAGTTGATTACGTTGATAACAAGATAATGCGGAAAATACACTATTTTGCTGTCTTGCAGAAATATTTACGGAGATACAAACGTGTTGCAATGGCCCAAAACACTTCTATTAGGAGAAAAGCGCTGCTGTCACATGCCGGCACATTTGTGTTTTTATATTTACATTGTTTTTGAAAGTGTAGCACATTTTCCCAAGTGTTTTGGACCATCGTAATGCGTTTGCACGAGTCGGCCACCGTAGATATTAATACCCTTTCAGATTCAGTCCTCTCATATACTGCAATTTTTAACAACTCTTTTTGGAAATATGCTTTCAGACTATTCCTTCTTGTTATTTTCAGATTACCATCCCCTTTTTTTGTCAGTCGCAATCTTTTTTTAATCCACACCACTCCGTTCTAACCATAATTACAGGATGTCAGCCTACTTCAGGAAGCGCGTCACACTCTTTATAAATGTCTGTGGTCACACCATATTCATGTGTTCTCACTGTCAATCATTGTGATGGGGAACATGTCAAAAAGGAGATTTTCTTTCTGGATCTTTTTCGTCCGCCCAGTCAGATCCGAGGCTCTGTGAACAATCATAATGTACAGGCTCTTTACATGAAAACAAGCCAATTACCTCCTTCAACAATGCCTGTCATTTGTCCTACAGTGAATCAGCCCCTAAAACAGGCACCTCTCCTCTCATGTCCGACCTGTGGGGCTCAGCATGAGGCAAGGTCATCCCTGTACACACTCTGATGTGGTATCATATGGGATGGAGGGGGAAAAAAACCACTTTGAACTTCTTCTATCATTATATATCCCTCTCTCCTGGTCCTCGCTGCAATGTGCATGTATTCACGAGAGAGTATGTTTTCTATTATTGTGCATTGCATCAGATCCGGATGACCCTTTGACAAGGCTTCTTTTTTGTGATATAATGAGCGTCTAAAAAAGCTGGTGAAGAATAAAAGATGAGAAGTGCACGGTGCCAGAACGTACTAAAGCACAAAGGAAGACAGAGACCATTGTGTTGTATTAAAACCAGAGCCCACAATCATCTCTCCCCCTGTGCTTCAAACTATTGTATGGCCTGAAAAATCAGAAATACAAGAGACAGGCCTCTTTGTGAATAATGATATCTTTCCGATGCAGGAGTTTCTGTTAGGCCACCTAGATTTTTATTATTACTTTATCAAGTTAAGCTGCGGTTCCTGTATGAAAGAGAGGAAGCAAACTGAAAACAATACAGTGAGGCTTTGTCCTGCACACCACGGGACCCCTGGTGAAGGTATTGTTAAGAACTGTAAACATTTTCCACTCACCACAACTTGAGCCAGGATCTATCCTCAGCATTTTGTGCCGCCTCGGCGAAGACAAGCTCGTTTTTTTGATTTTTATTTATATCGAATGAGCATATGGAGCAAGTATGCGCTTGGTAACCTTCAATGCTTAGCCCAAGGAAACTGTTATTTGTCAGTGCTTTAAAGCAGATTGCTGCCCAGTGGTTTCAATTAACATCAAAGAGCTCTTCGCAGGCAGTAATAGTTATGATCAAAACCTGAAATGTATTATTTAGTTTATGTGCTGGGGTCCTCCGAACGATTATGTCCTCGTTCTTTTCTTGCTGACTTTTTCCATTCCATACTCTCTGTCGCCTTGCCCTCTTTCTTTGAAGCGCCCCCACATCACCCTGTTTGGTCTCTTTGGAGCACCAGGGTACCTGTGTGGCTCACACCCGGTGGCCTATTAGTTACAGAGCATTAAAAGAGGCACTACCATATTGATGGCAGAGATTAAATGTCCTGTGTAGCTATAAGGGTAGAATTTGATAGATTTTGGAAATTCTCCAAAGTTTTTGCTATTTATTTCTCACTGGAGCCACATATAACTGAAGGTCCTGCCACATGTAGTACATGAAAACTGGCAAAATTAAGAATGTGTCAAAGGTGCAAAGTTGAGAATAAGCATTAAAAGTGTTGTATCAGAGTTGCCTCTTTGAATAATATTATGATGACAGTCCTTCATCGGATTGTGAACCCACATGTCATTTATATTCTTACCTTTTTTCTTCTTTCTGTGGAGAAACACACCTACTTATATGTCGCATTTTTTATTGCATTGATGAGCCCTATTAAGTCTAGGACCATTTGAACAATGAACTGTTTATTTGCAAGTTATGTGAATAAATGCCTAAATGGTCACAGTCAGTATTCACTCAGATATAACATAAATGGTTGTATTAGATCTAAATAATTTCAGTGTGTGGGGGTCAGCTTGGGACAGCTTCCCTGACGACATGGGGAATCTCCTAAACGTATTGTTTGTGTAAATAATTGCATATTAAATGTAATAGAAATACAAATATACTACATTTGAACAATCAGAACTGTTTGTCGTTATGATTTGGGTCATTTTGGTAACTGTGAAAATAAAGTTATCTTATGTTCCCAGAGGGGGACTAAATATGGACTCATGTCACACATTTGATGATTTAAGAAGACTTTACTTTAGCACCCATAACTTGTGACTCCACATGGACTTCAGCCTTTTGACATGAAAAGACTTGATACCTCCCCGAAGCGATTCAAATCAGAATCAGAATCAGAAATCCTTTATTTGTCCCAGAGTGGTCATATGTTATTTAAAAAGTGTGCCAATAAAAACTATGCAATGATTATTACAATTGAATTGCAGAATGCAAAGTAGGTGTTTATAAAAAATGGAATACCATTTGGTAAAGTGAACATTTTGACTTAATATTAAAGGACTTATAGATTCAAGGTAAGGATATTGTACTGCAACACAATTGCACAACAACATGTTTAGGACTCAAAACTTAAAGGACTTTAGGACCTTGGACTTGAAACTTACTTGCAAAACAATGACTTGGTCCCAGCTCTGACTGTTACTGATTTATTTTCTTCTGTCACGCTTTATGTTAACACCTCC